AAACGAGGGATTGGACTTCACTCTAGTATTCAAGAAATCTATGTCAGGATAGTATTGGGCCTTCAACATTCCGTCAACTAAAGAATCGGGTTTACGAACCAACCTCCATGTTTGTTTACCTAACATGACCACACTAAATTCGCGCAGCTTCCTAAATCCTAAACCGCTTTGCTGTTTTGGAACACATAATCCCTTACACCAATAACTATTCGTGTCCTTCTCAATTTCACCACACAAATAAATAGGAAGTAAGAATACATTCATGGCAACCCGAATCACAGATTTAAAAAGAATTTCTTTCATTGTCTGAAATAAAAGTTGATGATTCCAGCTAGGTAACCTCTTGAAAATCCTTTCTTTAAGGTACAACAAATTCTCTCTCTTTCGACGATCCACTAAGAATGGTAACCCCAAATATTTGTCTATCTCAGTGCCCAATCTTACTCCAATCTGGTGCTAATTTCCTCCTTCAGATCCCTGCGAACATTGACACTAAACAATATTTTGGATTTGTCAAAATTAATTGTTTGACCCGATATAAATTCATATTATTTTAACACCCTTCTAACATTATCACACTGAGCAAAAGAAGTTCTGAAAAATAGAAAACTATCATAGACGAAAAGAGATGAGTCATTTTGGGGTGTTCCTCTGGCCACCGCGACACCGTGTATAAGAAACTCAGGCCTTCCACCACTAGAATAAACATATAAGGCGATAAAGGGTCACCTTGGCATATTACCCTTTCAGGTACAGTCGGCCCCAAAACTTGATTATCAAATGAGATGTAATACTCAACTGTGGACATACATTGCATTGTCAATTGAATCTAGCACCTCTCAAAACTTAGTTTAAGCATGATATCATGTAGAAATTCCATTCAACATGATTATACGCCTTACTCATTCAACGTGTCATAATCCCCATTTCCTTGTCTTTTGCGTTTCAAAAAAATGTTGTGTTTCAAACGTTATCATCACATTGTCCACAATGTTACGCCCCAATACAAAATCACTTTGGTTTTCTGATATAATATGGTTTAAGACCCCCTTCATGTGATATGCTAAAGGCTTAGCAAAATTTATGTAGATGACGTTGCATAACGCTATGGGGCACCATTCCCCCATTCATCGTGGATTTTCTTTCTTGAGTATAAGAACCATATTCGTCACATTAACCACTTTTGGTACACTGCCCTGCTCAAAAACTTACTCACAAAAACTCATTCCATCCGGCCCCAGATCCATATATGGGAACATGTCAAAAGCCGCCTTTCTCATCTCGTCTACCGTTATAGGCCATATCAACTTACTGTTCTGCCTCGTCGTAACTATGTTCATGTTTTCTAGATTAATAGTCCTCTGACAATGCATATAAGTGCTAAATAAATCATCAAAATAATTGCAGATAATCTGACCCATACCTCCCCTTTCAGTAACCCATCTTACTTGTGATTTTGTGAATTTGTTAACCCCACCACCTTATTACGTCGGCGTTTCTGTTTAACTAAATTGTGAAAAAATTGAGTGTTGGCGTCCCCTTCGCGTAGCCAAATTTCTTTGGCTCATTGTCTCCAAAATGAGTCATGTATCTCAAGCAAATTTAAATAATATGCTTTCACCGTATGTAATTCCTGACAATTTCTTTCACTGCTCCACCCTCGAAGGCAAGCCAAACGTTTCTTGCCCTATGCAATGCGTGACTTGTATCTTCTGTGAAAATCGTGTCCCCAACTTTGCATAGCCTATCAACAGACACTGATTTGACTAATAATATTACTATCCCCCGATACTCCTCAGCTATGCAAGACCACATCCCTGCAACACTCTTCATGCAACCAAACACTCTCAAGCTTGAAAGATTGTCTTATGTTAGTTTGTGCTTCTGACTCAATTTGAATTTACAACATGAGATGATCACTTGTGTTTCCTTCTAAAGAGAAAGCTTGTGCAACACCATCCAAGTTCAACAAGGATCCAATCCAGTTTCTCCTCACCCCAAGCCTCTGTTCCTCTTCCTTCTCCCATGTCCATTGATACCATTCAAAATGAAATTTTTGCAACCCACGACTCCAAACTACTTCTCGAAAGACACAAAGCATCCAAGATGGTTGAGGAACCCTCCCAAGTTTCTCACTAGCCACCATATGTCATTAAGATCACCCACAATCAACTAGGGTATACCCATTCGTGCTCCTAACTGTCGTAATAAATCCCACAACTCCTTCTGTTGTCCCCTTTCCAGGCAACCTATAGAAACCAGTGAATGTCCACTCCGGTGCTCCTGCTTGTATCTGTGAAACACAATCAATAAAATTTCAGGAACCAACTTCTGTTCGTACCCCTAATTTCTCTTTCCAGAACAAAGTTAGCCCGCCACTTTGACCTCGACTCTCGATAACATACCTGTGTTGGTACCCTAATTCCCCCTTGACATCATCCATATGCTACATCACTGCCTTTGTTTCAATCGAAAAAACAAGAAAGGGACGCTTCTCTCGCACCAAATCGACAAGTACTTGGACTGTAACAATGTTAGCTAAACCACTCCAATTCCAACTCACACAGCTCATTGAAAAGAAATAGCCCACCCCAGATCAAAGACTAGAGAATAGAAACATCGAGAAACAATCGGTGATTAAAACTGATGGCCGGAAGAATAACCCTGGACTGAAGCTAGACACAGACCGTCGTTCCTCTAAACTAAGTATGAGTTTTCTTATGACTTAAACTTGTTTACGTGTATGATTTATAAAAATGAGTTTTTGTTATAGTACTGGATTAAAAGAACTGTGTGCTAATTGTTTTGTGCTCCACTTATGTCATATCAATGCACAATTCATCAATGCACATTTTTTGAAAATAGTATACTCATTGGGGTATATGTAAAAATCTTTCAATATTTCATACACGTAATATATATTTATTACAAACCAACTTCATATAATTAGGGTTATGAAGAAAAAAACAATCTTACTAAAGAGAATAGTTTATAATCATATCAACTTTACTGTATTTATATCAGTGTTACACCAATAGACATTTTTTAAACATATACCCATAATTAATATACACTTATATGAAGTGATAGTTATGCTCATTTGTAATACCAAACATGTGCACATTTTTTTAAAACATTATACTCATTTAAGTATAACATAAAAAAAGAGATTAACATTCACTTTATAAATTTTCAAACATTTGGTAGGCATTCAATATGTGAGTCGATTTAAAAAAAAATGCAGTTATACTTGTGGAGAAAGGTAGGTTTTTGCAACCATATATTCATCTGATTTAATTTATTTGAAATTTACAAGAGTCAATGACGAGCCGGAGCGAGAGGTTGCGAGGGAGTCAGCGACCGCTGGAGCGTTGACCGGACGAGACGGGGACTGTCGAGTCGTTGATCGAACCAGATCGGACCAGGATTCTCTGGCTGTTGACTAGACCGAACAGCTACTGCCTGGTCATAGACCGGACCAAGAAGGATCGTCGGGTCATCGACCGGACGGGGACCGTCGGGTCATCGACCAGACCGGACCTGGACTGCTCGGTCTTCGATCGAACAGGGAACACCAACTTGTTTATCGGACCGGACTGCTGGGTCATTGATCGGATCAAATGGGGACTGTCGGGTCGTTTATCGGTCCAGACTGGAACTGACACCAGAGCGGGACCGGTTCCGCCTATAGGCGTAAGTATGCAAATTTATTGCAGCGGCACTGCACCATCTGCGTTTTCCAAATTTGGAAAACGAGTAAAACTCACTTCTCTGATTCATTAAGGAAAACAAATACATATCTCATTTTTTGAATTTCGAAAACGATGTGGTAAACACATTTTTTCATTTTCCATTCTTCAGTTTTCCATCCATTTTTTTAGTAAACATGTTTTCGGTTTTCCTTTTTCAGTTTTCCATTTTCTGGATAATTGGAAAATATCATGTATTTCTGTTAGGAAACAAGTCAGGGGCGGATGCACCCTAATAGGAATGGGGGCACTTGCCCCCAATAAAATTTGGATTTTTAGTTAATTTTTTTTATGCTATTTGTCATGTAATCACTTGTGCCCCCAATAAAGAAATACAAGTGCCCCAATAAATACTTTATTTACAACATTTCAAATGAAAAAGCTGCAAAGAGTTAGCCTATATGTCATAAAAACTTAGTTGTATTTGAGTAAGGGAATATTCTCTAAATAGAATTAAAATATATAAAAAAATCTCAAATAAAATTATCATTTTTTTTCTTCTAAAATTAGACTTTTGCACTCATATTTAAAAAAAAAAAAATTCTATTCTTTTATTCTTTTAGTGGTGCTAAATAAGTCATCTTGTAGGAAGCAAACATATTTAATCCAGTTTCAGAATTTTGTCTATATTTTAGTCCGAGCAAATTGTTTTGGAATGTTATAATTTCCATCTCTTAAAATTAATGTATATGTTGTCATTTCATTCTTTTATAACATTTAGAACATGTTTGGTGGCCCTGTTTTTCGGATTATCGGTAACTTTAAACTTTTATTTCGCGCGTTGAGTTGTGTAACAATAAGAGTAAGTAAAGTATGAGATATTTTTCTGTCTGAAGTTACTGCAAAAGATCATCTTACTTACTTTTTTAATAATATTTTTTCTTTGTTTTATTAACAAAATATATTTTAAATATAAATTCTATATAATTCAGCAGAATAAGATACTTTAGCCACTTCAGCCAGAACTTTACAAAATGTTAGCAGAATCAAATGATTAAGTCAATTTCAATATTATCAAATGAACTCTTAATTAGTTAATAAGTACGGTGCCCCCATTAACTATATTTTCTAGATCCGCACTTGAAACAAGTCCAATTTTTTTTGGGTTTTTAAGTTTTTGGCCCGATCATAATATTCATAACCAAATGCAGGGGAAATGAACCTTAAATTTATAAGAAATGCAGATTGGGCCCCAATACATGCATGAAATGTGCAATCATCAGTTTGCATATATTTATATAGCTTCGCCATTCCCAACTCCGTGTATGATTGTTTATACCTTTTTTTCTTATATCTTTTTTTTTCTTAATTACATACATATATATAGGCATAATCTCTTATTCTAATTTTGGTCGCCGGAAAATTAAGATTCCGACCAACTGCTTCCTAGAGCAATCGGCGCATATCCTTACTCTGTATCGGCTAATTCTTTTCCGGGCGGCGGAAGTGGTTATGATCAATGGCAAAAGGTCGGAAATTAACGTCGAGCCGGAGCGAGAGGTTGCTAGGCAGCTACAGCAGCTATAGCAACGGCCGTGGAACGGTCAACGACGCATCGGAGTTTGTGGAAGACGACGTCTGGGGAACAGTCGATGAAATGGCCAACGGCGACGGCAGTTGCGATGATGGCTCGCCTGGAGACTGGACACCACGCGCCACCGTTCCCAACAACAACGGGATCCGGCGGCAGATCCCACGCGCCGAGCATGACCGCCGCCAGGTCGGCGGCTTGTCGTTGGCCTTTGACGATCCCGGTAAGACGGCGTCGCCCCGAATCGTCCACCAGTTCCGCGGGCAGCAGGACGGGGCGGCGGCGGCGGCATCGCCTGGTGGGCGGCACATGGCCGCGTCAGCGCCGGTCAACGTCCCGGATTGGTCTAAAATATACCGAGTCGACTCGGTTGAGTCTCTGATTGACTCAGACGACGGCTTGGATGAAAATGGCGCGGAAATTGTTCCCCCACACGAGTACTTGGCGCGTGCATCCGCTCGCTCCCGGAAAACCGCCACTAACTCGGTGTTTGAGGGTGTGGGGAGAAAGCTGAAAGGACGAGATTTGAGCCGGGTTCGGGACGCGGTCTGGAGTCAAACCGGGTTCTATGGGTAACCAATAATTGGCAATTATTAGTGGGTAAAATTTGGAGTGAAGCATTGGTTATTACGGAGTATTATCATCATTACATTATAATTACTGTTATTATTATAATATTATTATGTTTAAGTATATTAAAAGAAAAATCTTCAAACGGGTTCAACTCGTCACCAAAAGAAAGTTTATCGGGTTGAATTTGAGCAAATTGACTGAGCAAAGACTAGAATAAGTTGGGTCTTTTTTACCTCTTGTTTCATTCTTATCGTTTTTAAATGTACATATTTTGTCATTTTTCTATGAAACTTGTTAAGTAATACTACTTCCGTCCCATTAAAATTCAAACAAGCGAGTGGTGTGGTTTTTTAACAGCAATTAAAATTGATATTAAATTGTTAAAGTAAATAAAGTACGGAGTATGAATTAATTATAACTATTCAAATATTACCAAAGAGGATATAACAAGTATAATGAGATAGACCAATACAAGGTTAGAGAGATTGAGAGAGTAGTATATGTTGTGGTGCAAGAGTGGCTATATTGAAGTAGTGGCCCAAGTTCACTTCATCCAAAAGGACCAAAACAAAAGGAAATAAGTACCACAAATCATTCTTTGAGAATATTATATTTTACCATTGAAATGTGAAATGTGATCATTAAAATTGCTAAATTGACCCACAAAACACACATTTAGCCGTGCCCACAAAATTGACCAAAAAAGAATAAAGCCCTCAACCCAGGGTTCCACTACTCGTCCTTGATGAATATCATTATTCATTGATGTATGATATCATCTTTTTATGGACATTGATATCTTTATAACAGATCCAAAGATTCATATGATATGACTTTGCCATGTGAAGTGAGCCAGTTAATGTAATAAATGATACTTAAACAGGTCTTGGTTCACACGAACCGTGGATACTTAAACTTGTGCTAATCACTTTTGATGACCAATGAAGACATGAAGCACTCTAGATATTTTTGCCTAAACGTTTGCTGTTTTTTAGCGGGTTTAATGCACCAAACGTACACTTCGGCGATGTATAAATCGGCACAATAGTTTCTGTAATTCAAAAAATGCATCAAACCTCATGCATGCGTAATAATTACTTATGCGCAAAACCTCTTTGAAGAACAAATTAATAATTTGAAAATCACTTGTCTTAATATTATGGTTGAATATGAAAATAAATTTGTCAAGATCTCTAAAGTATGCAAAAATACTAGTCATTTTACATTAATTTGGCAATTCGTTCATAGTGGGATTTTGTGCATGAATAATTATAACACATGATTGTTCGACGCATTTTTTAAAGCACATGTGCTAATTCGTCAAATTTATATATCATGAGAGATTTTGTTGCATTAATTTTTTTGTTAGTATTTCGTAATTGGAAATATAAAAAACTAGTTTTAACACTTGAGGAAACAAAAAAAACGCCTCAGGAAACAAATACAGTTTCTACACACATTTTATCTTTAGTCTAAACTTCTAACATCTACTATGAATTGGGGAGCTAAGGATGTGAATTTATCCTCGACTATAAATCGAAGCAATCAAGCACTCTAATTACATTTAGTTAACTAGCTGAGCCGAAATAAGCCTACTTAACCGCACGAATTGAAATTCTAGCATAAAGTTAGGGCAAATTATACCACGCCGGCATACCATGAGCATGGTATGCATGTACCACATATGACACGGAAGCGTATATAGTACAGCCGGTTGTACGGTGCCATCCGTACAGTCGGTGGCAAACTTGTAATTTTGGTGAATTTCACGGCTTCTCTTAAATGAGCATTGAGTCATTTTTTATGGGCACCGAACTTGTTCTTTTGAGTATTAGGAGCCTAACAGTTAGCATTAGTGATATATGTGCTTCATTCCTCGTATATCACATTTTGTTTATCATTATTTCATTTATTAAAGTCTTATATTATGTCTATAATCAATTTCATTGAATTTCAATATGTGTCTAATGAATTAACATGTGCAACCTTTTAAAATGAGCATAAAACAGTACCAAATGAGCATACATAATTACAAAATGAGTATCAAAATATTAAAAAACTCATTTGTGTGTGTTCATTATTTTTGGGCATTATACTCATTTGAGTTTAACATAAAACTCATTTTGAAGCATGCATGAATATGACATTTTAAAATGAGTATTGCACTAACATCAAATGAGTATACATAAATTAGGGAATGAGCATTCAAAAAAATCATTTAAAATGTCTAATGTGCTCATAATTTCATCTGTTATGCTCACATCTGAAGAATTATATATATACACATATATTCCCTATTATGCTCATAAATTTTCTGATATGTCCCCAAAGTTGGAAGCCAGAACGAGAACGGTCTGTGGAGGAAGACCAACGGAGGAAGATCTGCGGAGGAAGACCAGCAAAGGAAGATCTGCAGAGGAAGACTATCGGAGGAAAACCAAACAGAGAGCGAAGATCGAGAACCATCTGCGGAGGAAGACCAGCGCCCTGCGATTTGCGATGGAAGCCAGAGCCCTGCGATTTGCGATCTAAAACGCCAGCTGTACCGTGTGCACGGTACAGCCGGCCGTACGATGGAATTTACCCATACGGCACCATATATCTTTCTAATAGAAGCACTACGTACGTTTTTTTGTTCTTTTCCCAACTTCCCTTAAGTTCACCCAATTTCTTTTCTTTCAAGTCATCCAATGCTCCATGTATGCTATTTCTTTCTCTTTACTTTTCTTTTATTTTCTTGAATTCTTTTTTCATCTCCATCAAAATACTAAAAATATTAATTGTGATTTTGCTTATCTTTATTTTGAACTAATTTAATTATAACTGATCAATTAACTTCTTTTAAAAAAATTATTACAAAATTTTATTAACCCACATAAAATAAGTTTATTGCATTAATAATCATACACTACTTTTGCCCCAAAACAATCATACACTACTTTTTTACTTTTTTTCTTCAATTGAAATTACTATTGAATTTATATTTTTTTAGAGGTTTTTAAGACATTGAGTTTGTTTATTTTGATTTTTGAAGTTACACTTGATAATATATCATGGAATTACATCTTCTGCGCAAGTTACATCTCAATGTACGCGAGTTACATCTTAATGTATGCGAGTTACACACGGAATAAACTCCAGCTATATCATTTTTATTGCCCTAATATTAAAAATAAAACATATTCACTATTTAGAAAAAAAGTAATTAAGCTATTAAGATCAATTTTTCATTGTTTACATTGAAATCAATGTTTATAATATCTCAAACACAAAAAAAATCATTGTTCACTTTTCCAACAAGTTACATTCTGTATACACCCAAGTTACATTTGCCATCACCACCAATTACATTTGTAATAACACGAGTTACATTAAAAAATAAACCCCTGCTATTGAAACAAAAAAATGATCTTTTCTAATTTTTTTATGACCATGATATTAAAAAAAAACATATTCGCGTTTTACCTAAAACAATTGTGCAATAAGACTCTTTTTTCATTGTTTACATTGAAATCAATATTTGAAAAGTTACATTTTGGATGGGCTTGAGTTACATTGATCAATAATGCGAGTTACATATCTTTACATGTGAGTAACCCCATCCATGTTACTTGAACAAAAAAAAGTCAATGTACGTGCGTGTACTGTTCACGCGTGTACTGTTCACGCGATTTTTTTTAATTGCCCAAAACTACATCATTTTGGGAGTGGAAGCATGATGCTCATGGTGGGACGGTTATATGGTATACGAACTGGAAAGTTTGTGAGCGTGGCAAGCTAATTTATGTGCACTATATTACAATCCGTCTAAGAGCATCCACATTGATGACCTTCAACTTTACGGTTTTTAATTCATGGCTTATTATTGTCATGTCACCTCCACATAAGATAATCTCAAATAATCTCCAAATCAATAAATTTCTCCTCATTCATGATCTTAATTTATCTTGGATAGGAGCATGAGCATGCACGAACTACCAAGCTAGTCATCACCATATATATGAGTATATGCCTAGAAGTTGGAAATAATCTCAAAATAATCCAGCTTTAGAATTTGATACGAGATTATTTAATCAAATAATCTCATAAAATAATCTCAACTCATCATCCATAATCCCAAAAAAATCTTCCACATCATCAAAATGATCTAAAAAATAATCCATGAATGTGGATGCCCTAATTATTTGAACTTTGCAACCATAATAAATTAATAAATTATGCCGAATACATTCTTCGACATATGCATGAAACACGGGAGGTGTTTGGATCTAATTTTTAAGAATGTTTCTACTCTTTCGATAACAGACACAGATATTGAATTGTTTCATACAAAAGTACTTCAAAGAGTAAGAGTTAAGAGTTTCAAATAAGAAACTTGATTCAAATGCTTTTTAAACAACAGCTTATAAAATCTGATTGAAATCTGAAGTTGTGGGAACTACTTATGCTTAAAAAAAAAGAATGAGTTCCAAACCCCCCATTTACAAATGAAATGAGTCTGACCATATTTTTAAACGTAACTGCCCACTTAAACAACTAAATGATACTTGATAAATTGATTAGATGTATTCAACATAGTAGATGTGGTTTCATTTATAGTCTTCAATCTTATTTTAGATATCCATCCATATAAATAATATACCTTTAGTCCCATTTATTTAAAAACTTTTCTTTCGAGCTTCTTCGCCAATGTGAATTAAATTGGACCTATTCGCCAGAAACGCATCTTTGGACAATTGATACTGTCCATTAATGAAGCATATCGGGACAAAGGTGAAAGTGAGGAAGTAGCTAGAAGCTCCTAGTATGGAACTATTGATGAGCAAAACACTTAAAAGGCACTTGACTAATTTTAATGTACTCCAATGGGCCTATATATACCTACTATCACTCTACCATTGAAAAGTGAGTGGTGAACGCCACATTTAATCACCCTTTAATGTTGGAGGTATATTGACTAAGCTAACTCAAAAGAGAGAATCATTAAGAGTATTTTATCAAAGAATGCCTAGCCTAGGAGTTAACTCGAGTTATCATTTAATTGGTATTTCTAATGTCAAATAGTTGTGTATGAGTTAGATTATTGTTGTAAACCATGGCCGGCTCAATAGATTAGGAGACCCGATGCAAATCACGTAAAATAGGCCTTAAATTAAATAAATACAATATAAAAAGTAACCTTTAAAAAATAACCCAAAAAAGACTACAATCAAATGTGACATTGAGATATAATCATATTTTGAACCTGAACAACCAAAATCGGCAAAAAAAAACTAAAACCGAAAAGAAATGAATTAAAATCATGAACTTAAAAAATATAGAGTAGGAT